TAGAGGGTTTCATTTTTTGTGATTTTCTTTTTGAGTTAATATGTTCTGATTTTTTGTGTTTTGCCACTATTATTAGTGTTGGAAAATATTTGTTACATACGGTGCAGCAAAGACAGGTATGCATTTCAGATGAAACAGATGGACAATGAGCATCATAAGATGGTAATTTTAATTTATCAATATATTGTAAAATATGAATCAGATTAAAAAAATGTCTATCTTAACCTTTTGTAACTAGTGGCAAAAACCATTATTTTTTGCATGAAAAGCAGCTGATTCTTCATGTTTTATAGGATTACAGCAAGCAATATTATTGCATTTTTTAATATCAAAGCTATATCGACAAATTTAAGTATGTCTCTTTATCCATTTCCAAGAAACTTCAGATTCTTCATTAATTTGCTGTTCAAATATTTTATTTTTCATAAAGAGTATATTTGAAAATAAAGAAATATTATCTTTAACATATTGGATTAATACTAGTTTTCCAAAGATTTAATCTTGATTCCAAAAATTGCATAAAGCTTCTCCAGCATAACGAAAATTTCTTTTTGCAAGATCTTGATTTATGACTTTTCCTTGACTATTTAGATGAGAGCCAAATGTATTTATTTGTAAAGTTATGCCAGTTAATTTTCAGAAAGAGTACATATACTTCTTTCAACTAGATTATAAGCTGATTGACCTGAAGTGTGAGTTCTTATTATCAAATAGTCAAGATTAAAATATCGAAATAATTTGCAATATTCATATATATTTTTTAGATATCAGGGATTTTCATCTGGTCCTCATCAACTAGAAGAATCCAGATTGATTTAATTTGATTATTATTTTTAAAAGTGCTGGCAAATGATTCTTAACATGTAAGAGAGATCAAATCAGCCATATGTGTATTTGCATTTATACCTATATTATATTGTGAACGAATAAAAATACCTAGTTGACCATGATGAAGTGTATTATTGAAATCTGAAAAATTAATAGCAAGATAAACAAATGGAATTAATTTTTGCTGAACTCCAGTTAGAAAATCATGATCTGTGATCAAAACAGCTTCTTTTATTAATTGTATTGTTTGAAAAGTTCTTCCAACAGCAGGAATACCAAGTGGAACTTTTGCTTTATCATCTTGTGAAATGATGACATATTGGGAAGAAAACAATGCTGCAAATTGCCTTACTCCTTTAATAGAAGAAAGACAATAATGCTCATCTATATGTTCTTTTTTTCTATTTTTGAAACACCTGCAATTGCTACTAATGCAGGATAACAATGTGCTTTGGCAGCAAAACTTGAAGAATTTCGTGGTAAAATATATGTATTTAATGTTGTTCTTGTAAGGTACTTATTATATTTCTCTTGTAATGCTGAACGAAGATGGTAAATAGTTCTTACTTTAATCACTTCATGTCATCATTTTTTATGTGCTTTTCCAAATTCAATACAATCATGAATGTGTTCATGAAGATCAGGATATTTGTAAAGAATTGATGGTCATTCAAGTGAATCATATGTTATTACTTCTTGATTTTCATGTAATATTTTTAATTTTTTTGCTGCTGATTTGGCTTAATAGGCTGCATTTCGTTTCAATGTTGCAATTCTTTTAGTCTCATCAGTAATTACTTTTGTTGTTGTTGCAATTCGCTGCAAAATATCATGTTTTAATTCTGGATCTCTAGCTTTTTATAGGTTGCCTGTAAATCAAGTAATTTTGTGAATATTTCTTTTTTTATTGTAAGAGCTTTTTTTTGTGCTGCAGCATTTTTAGGTACTTCCTCCTCAATGATGATTATATCTGGCTTTTTGGAAGAATTTGATGTTTAAGGATTATCAGGCAATTGTGGAAGGTTAGAACGGAATTATACAAAACCTTGCAAATGTAAAGAAATTGGCGTAGCAAGATAAGTTTCAATTTGATTTGCAATTTCTTCTGGCTTTTTTTTTAATTTCTTTCCATGCTTCTGTAGATTCTGAACAAAAATCTGATTTTTTATATGTAGGATTTCCTGTTTTTATCATACGATGATACGCAAATGCATTTGTAAAAAGTTGGTGTTATATGGTTGGATTTTTATAGATATAATTTTTATTATATTTTGACGTAATTAGGAATTTTTGCATTTTAAAAGTCAAATAAAAAATCAATCAATATATAAGAAAGTCAATTTTTTATCCTTTTTTACGATTTCTTGATTAATTAAGGCGCAGTAAGATGAAAGGCGCAATATTAAAAAAAGTCAAAATTTTCCTTTTTTATGATTGTTTTTATGACTTATCGCTATTGTTAAATGATTATCTCTGATTTTTCGTTTTTTTTTTTCAAGAAATTTTTGGATATAAAATATAAAAGTATAAAACTATGTCTTCAGAACCTTCTACACCCTCAAGCATATCATCAAACGAAGAAGTGATTACCCATATCATGGAAGATGTAATTAAGAATTATGACACTGAAAAACTTATCGATTATTTGTGAAGGAAGGACTTAAAACTTAAGGAGTCGCATTTCGAGATATTGCGTGAACAGGAAATTACTGGTCTTGACTTTCTTGAATTTACCGAAAAAGAATATCAAGATTTTGGAATACCTAAAGGACCAGCAAAAGACTTGTAAAATTTATTGAAGAAATTAAAAAGCAAAAATTGAAAGGTTTTTCGACTTATAAAACCATAGAAGAATTAAAAGTGGTCCTAAAAAAATACAAGGTTAATGGCGAAGATATTACCAATATTAAACAATTCAATCTGGGTAAGTTGGCTTCTCAGATACAGATTCGGGTAAGTCTAAGATTTAATAATTCATTCTTTTCTTTGTAAGTTTTCGAAGAAATTGATGATAGTGATGAATTGTTCAATCACTGTATGGAGCATATTATACTAGTTCTAAATAATATAGAGACTATGACCGACGCAAACGAAGCAATGCGATGCGAATTTATTTTGTGTATTTTATATATATCAATAGCTATTATTAGAAGGCTCACAGGTAAAGAAGAAATCTATTTAGCATTACAAAAGGATGTTTCTGGAGAAGAATCATCAGGGCGAGTAGATTATGTAATAAAAACGTTGGAAACTCTCGTTTGTATTCTTGAGGGAAAATCACGTAATATGAAAATAGGGTACCTGCAAAATATTAAACAACTTGAAGAAGCCTATTATATGAACAAAAAAAACGAAGTGCTGACCAAGCATTTGAGGAAGATGATTACAACTATCTATACAGATTAGTTTCAACAGGTAGTATTAATCTTAAGAAGTTTAGTCAAGGCTATCATATGTGTTACTAATTCTTGTATCTATATATTAGCCACAGAATGGCATTTTCTATTGTTTATTACTCATGGTATATATTGTACGAGTAGCATAGAATTTAATATAAATATCTTAAAATCTGTGGCCAAAGAAGAAAAAGAAAGTCTACGAAAAAGTGTAAAACGAGTAGTAGGAATAATTGTTGAACTGCTGAGAGATAGGGTAACCGCTCAAAACAGTTCGTCTAGTAAGCGAGCCAGAATAGAAAAATTTATTAAAAAATGACGGATAAAAGTATTTTTCGTAGCTCATAATATGGACATTAATTTGTTTTATTTGTACATTTTGTTGTACATTTTTTTATGTTTTGATTTATTATAAGTGAGTGGGTCAGAATGTAGGAATTTATTTTCTATACCTTGTTAAGTAATAAACAATGCCAAAACAGTATATTAAATCAAACATATTTTTGCAAATTAATCTTTTATGTAGTGAGATCATAGTTAATCAATTAATCGAGATTTGCTTTTCAGCTCACGTCGATTAACATCCATCATCAATCCCATCAACCGAATGATCGAGCATTTCTAACAAAAATAAAAACAAGGTATGTCCTACTATTGCTCGATTTAATTTCGAAAAATGACATCGATGCTTCACACATGATACTTACCATTTTTTCTGGTATTTTATATGTACTAATCTTGATCCTTGATATTCGCCGAGAAATATGATTCTGAATCTAATTTGACTAGGAGCATTCCATTCCCAGATTCGAGTTGTGAGAAAGGCTTGAATAATCTTCATTTTGATAGGATCATTCAGATCGTGATTCAAATTTTTGCGGAATCCTACCGAGAGAAAAAATTCCAAGGGATTTAAATCCCTCAAATGAAGTTTCATGTATGCAATGTCGTGGTCTTCCGTTCTGAAAAATGCGAAACCTAGGTGTAGTGGTGGGGTACTTTTACAAGATAATGTTAATGAACATTTCCGATTCTTACTAACATGGTTGTAATAATTCAATAAAATACTAGTTGAAATGAATGATGATAATATTCTTTGAGATGAAAATGAGGTAGGATGTATGATATTTACATTGGAAAAAGCATTTGTGAAATCTTAATCACAAGTAATTTCATATATAATATTACATTCTAGGTCTTATAACGTTTGAAGAATTCTGGTAACGCGTTTCTATAAACAAATAAACCTGGTTTCTCAAATATCGTAAAAAGCAGAGAACACGAACTTTTAAAGTTAATGACGACAATATTGCAGTAATTTACATATATATTTATCAGCATCTTTTAATTATCTTTGCAATTAATCTAATCCTTCACCTTATACTAACCTGCAAGAGTAGACCTTACGAGAACTCTCGGTACAACGAATCCTCTGGTTTACTGTAAAATTATTCATATTTACGTGTTCAACTTGAATATCACGCGATATTTGCAAATTAGTCATTCAAGGTATTCTGTTAGAAATCATAATAATTCCTTTGGACAAATTAGGATTTAAATCTTATGTTTCGTAACTATATCCACTTTTTTTTTTTGGAAACTATAATTTGAATAACAATATTTCAATACCATATCACTGATTTATCAACAGATCTTATCGTTTTTTCAAAAACTACATTTATTAATTTATCGAAAAGTATTTCAAAATGTTCAAAATGTTTTTAAAAAAAAAAATCCCCCGATATCGAAAATCACGCACTAATTTCTGAAATTAATCTAATTATCCTTAAATATCTCGTTCACAAAATGTTTTATGATTTCTTTTCCCTTTGTTTGAAGCGAATTTCTCATCACAATAGCTGCATGTGAATTGAATGCATCAAGATAAACAGCATATTTTTCCCATGTTAATTGATTTAAGTTTGCAAATACTTTACGTTGATCATTACATAATTGAACATGAGGAAATTCTGAAGATGTAGTAGTAAAATTTTCCAATGGATTTATTGACGGTAATAATGAATTTGCTGAATTTGGTGTTGTAGGCGAACTCGGTGTGAGAAAATTTCTTATGTTCATTGCAGCCTCTACGGCATCTTCTTCTAAACTTGTAGTTCTAACGGAGATTTCATGATTTGAATCATAAACCTCATTTTTGGCTTTTGAAGCTAAAATCTTTTGCACTCTTCGCCTTGACAATATTCCTTGTATTGTAATAGTACTAAGTATAAAGACAATCCACAAAGGTAGTACAATAGGAATAGCTAAGCCAACTAACAAATAACGTGCAACTTTTTTTGACTGATTTGTTAACATTTTCATAAAAGGAATTTTTTCTGAACTATTTTCAAGTTTTGATATTGACTCTACTATAACATTGAATTTCTCATTTGTTACTCTAAAAAAAAAAAAAAATGAATAATTATTGATATACAATAAATGAAAATGATAATTAGCTAAATAATAACCAACATTTTTAATTCTTCGACGTTATCGAATGGATCGACTTCAGATATCGCGGCTGTCCAGAAAGGAACTGTTCTATCATTCCTGACGTTTGCATATAATGTTCTATATTTAAACGCGGAAAGGGCTTTGAAGTAAATTTTGTCTTTTGAATTTCGGGGAGAATGAAGGATAAGATTAGATATACTACTCAATGATGAATATTGCGAAATAATATAGCTTTACCTGGACGAGATATTGTCAATAAAATCGGCTCATCTTCTTCGTATTTATCCATGAAGGTAAGTTGTTCCCCTAGTAAATATTACAAAAATCAGGAAAAAAGAGTTCATTTTGTAATAAGTTTTAATAATGCGCATACCAGTTTTTGACAAGAGTGTTGTTGATACCCAATTAGTTATTTTTGTAAACGTTTTATCGTCTTCGCGTCGAATGCCTAAATGTGGAGTTGCAAATGTTGTGAACAGCTACAATAAATTGATGAAATGATTAGAATTAAATTAAATGTGAAATGAGAGAAATGAATAATATATCAGAAATTACATACAATCGGTTTAACTGTTTTAAAAAACCCTCTTTTATAAAGTATTCCAATCGCATATCTTGATATTAGGCCACCGAGAGAGTATCCAACAATACTAAACTTAGTGACTTTAAAGGTTTTATCTTGGAGTGATTTAACTTCAGTATAAATCTATTTTCGGACAGGCGATTTAACTTTTAATCTCTACTTTAAATCATAATAATAATAATAATAATAAATACTTCATCGACAAGTCTATCCCCACAAACATCTACACCATCATAAGTATAAGCAGATGAATTGTTCTTTGAATTTAGCTGAATTGAAAAATTTTAAAAACGTTTTAAACCGATATTTTCGGAGGAAGAAAATTGAAAATAAATAAATAAATAAATAACTTACAATATGAACGTTGTGGCTATGTTTTTTCTCAAATCGTTCAACTAAATACTGTAAATGACTATGATTTCCCCATAAGCTAAAAATCAAAGATTTTTAAATTAATTGCATTGTTAAAGATAAAAAAAAAAAAAATTATATAAATTTACCCATGAGCAAATACAACAAGGTGAATATTATTCATTTTTTTTTTTAATAAATAATAAAAAATATATTTGTATAAGATATAAATTAATTTCTTACAAAATTTAAAAAAAAAGTAAATTTAAATGAACTTTTGTTTCAGAAATAGAGTTTTTTTTATTGACAAGTAAAAAAATTAATGGATAAATATCGTTCCAAATCGGGCCTTCGATCAGGCCTTCTCATTAGATTTCATTGGTAAACGTGCAAGGATATTTTATTTTAGGAGAATCTTATCCATTTAGCCTTTTATACAAGTGATAAAAAGATTTATTTATATAGGTAAAGGAATAAAGAATACACCCGGATGACTTTAAGGATGCCCAATATTTGCTGATCACCATATTCTAACGATTTAAGAATAATTGAACGAATACATTAGGTAATGGTATTATTAATGTGTTAAAGCTATGAACGGATCAAAAGCAAATTATATTATTAATTTATTAACTTTTGTATTAGTATAAATAAATTCATTGTATCATTTTTGTAAATTTTATTTTTTATATTATAATAAAAAAACTTTTTTTTTTTAATAAAAATTGCTTCAATATTAAAATACATTTCAGAATATTTTTAGTTATTATAATGGAAGGCAGATCGTCAACTTACATAACTTACATTACAAGTGCAAGCTTTTGACCGTTTAATATAAAGTCACGTGACAACAAGAACTAATCTTTTTTCTTTACTAAACGCGTCAAATTGCAAACATTCATTTTATTTGCATACACTTTTCAAATATTCTTTCATACTTGATATTTCATATTTCATTTTATTTATATAATAAAATACTCAATTCTTAAATAAATTCACATGATGTTTATATTTATTACAATATGGTAAGATAGCTAATAATGTTTAATGCTTTTTGTTCTTTTTGTTTTAAAATCATAATGTAAAACTGTTTTATATACATATTTAATAAAACTAATTTCTGCTATTTTACTCAAAAAGAATGATAAAGAGAATGAAGTATCACATTTGCATGATGCAAACTGGAAGTAAATAGTGGTTGAAAAGTCTGATAAGCTACGGTTAGCACATAACCAAAATAAGAAAATTGAGAAGCAGTATAAAGTGACTGAAGAGACTTATGAAGAACTGAGACACATTTAGTAGCTGAAGAGAAAGCTTAATGTGCTTATATACAGTCAACTCTTATTATAACGAACTCTATGTCCTAGATCTCAACTTCGCTATAAAGCTATAATGAAGATTTTAAGAGATTTGATTGGCCAATTCGCTATAACAAGAATATTTTTATTATATTTGTTCAAAAAAATTCGTTATATCAAGAGTTTGCTATATCAAGAGTTGACTGTACATAAAAAATATCTATTAAGAAAGTCTAGAGAAACTGCTCAACAATATACTATAAGACTTTCTAAGAATAGGATAACTTTATGTCAAAAAAATGATTTAAAAAATGTTTCAACTTCAGATCAAAAGCTTCTACTCAAATTTCATAATATGATTAGTAATTTAAGAAACAATCTTTGTAATATGTATAATGAGTGATTCAGTCTATTGTACTTATTGATAAAAAATACTGTCAATACTATAAAAAAGTATACCTAAAAGATTCTCTGCTGAAAACAATATGAATCTAAGTCAAATTTAAATAAAAATATTTTCATTATATAAAATTGAACTTGATGAACTTATCTATTTTCACTTTTTTTTAGATAAAGTTTTACAGGAGCTTTAGGATTTAAATGATATAAAAAAATGTTTGTATAAGTATTTTCTGTTATTGCAGTATATAATCTTTCTAGGAGATAGTATATAATTGTGAAAATATTATTTTTTGTAAAATGTATAAATTTATAACCTATTTTTTACATGACTTATTATTACTAAATTTACTTATCATTCAACATTATACTGAAAATGAATCTAACTTTTGTGACTTTTAAATTTGTTAAAAAAAGTAATACAAATTCTTCTGTGGTTAAAAACCAATAATATTTATTATTATGATATTGATATTAATAACAATATTTTGCAAAAATTATCTGAAAATAGATTGATTTTAAAGCAGCTCTCATAAATCTTAAGTGATAGTATTCATCATGAAGAGGAAAGATTAAGTGAACAAAATGAAGATGAAATTAAAGATGATGATATTTATTTTACCTCGTAAACATTTATTTTTGCATTATCTACTAAATATAATGAAAACAATATGATTAATAAAGTTCTTCATTGAATGCAGCATGATTGTCCTTTACATAAAATTGGTCACATAATAAAGATACTTTAATTGATAAATTTTATACATAATACAAATTTTTTTATACTTTATTTCAGTTTACTTATTATTCACAATAATGTTATTTTATACTAAATATAACAATGAAATGGAAAGCATTATCAGAAGGCTATATATTTATCTAACAAAATGTAGATGAAAAGTAACTTACTATAGCTGAAATCTTAGATTTAATGAAAACTAATAATATTATTATAGACTGAGTATTTTATTATAATAAAAGATTACGTAATACTCATTAATATTAGATACATTATAAAACTGAATTAATAGATATGATAAAGCAGTTAAAATCTTAAAAAATAATATTTTTCACATTTAATGTAACTGATACATATTGGCTGGACTTATATAACCTTATATTTAGCAGAAAAAATCTTATAAAAGCAGAATCAAATTAGAATATTACTAGCATTAATATAGAATCTTATAGATAATCTACATATTATTACATAGTTTTTTGAAAAGTGATTTAAAATATTTTTGAAAAGATTCTCATATCTAAATAAAAATTATTAAATAGTAGTATTACTTTAAATAATAATATCATAATAGTATTTATATACATAGTATTGCCAAGAGTAAAAATATATCTAAAATTAATTGAAAAAATGAATAATGATTAAAGACAATAAAAAGTGTTATGTGTTACTTAGATTCTTTAATTTTAACAATTAATCTCAAGTTAGAGATATTTCCTTCTAATCATCACCATATCAAAAGTATTTTAAGGATCTTAATAATAATACAGCAAATTATATTGAGTTAATAAATAAATTACAATATTATAACTCCTACTATCTATGAGTTGATAAGAAAACTGGTAAACTAAAATGTCAATTTAATTTTCCTAAAGTGTTAATAAATCAAATGACTATTCAAATGATAATGATCATCTGAAATTAATAATAATCAGAAATAATTTACTTATAAACTCACATAATCATATTTAACTTCAAGAATGAAGAGCAACTATTGATTTAAACTTATTCTCATACAATATATTATTTTACAGTATGTTTCAAAATATACTAATAAAGCTAAGCTGTGATTTTTGACTTTTTTTAGAAGTTTTAAATCAAGTTTTTCATAATGATAATCTAGATAATTCAAGTATAAAAGTATTTTAAAATTGCTTATTCATATAGTAAGAGAGTATGATTATTTAATTCAGAAAACTTGCTATCTTTTCTATTAAATTTTACTTTATTATAGTAGTAGAAATTTTATTTGCTTAAATCTTAATAAAGAGATAAATTAATAGCTTTATAATAATAAACATAATGAAAACAGTAAAATCAAAAAAAAACAGATCTTTCATTTTTACAAAGATATTATAGTTGATCTATTGAATTAAATAATATATTATTATTTAGATTATATTTGTAATATAAGTTAGTCAAAGAAGAATAGATAAAATGTAGTATAGAAAATATTTTATGTATTTGATCAAGACTATTTTTAATCAAAAATAGTTTTTAGTAAAAAGAATTTTGTCAAATAAAAGTTTTCTTATATGTTAGTTATAAAGACATTCTTATCCTTATAAAAAACTATATACTTTTATGAATAGATTTATACAACTGTTATCTTTTAAAAATTAATAATAATTCTAGTGATTTAATTGGTTCTGCTATAGATAATCTTGAAAAAGTTGATAGTAATAATTCTGATGATGATGAAGATATTATACAAGATGAATATGAACTTTGAGTTGACTGAATGGTATTATCTGAAATAATACCAAATTGACAAAAATACAATTTAACTAATTCTCTTAGTAATCATAATATTAATATAAATCATGATTAGGTTAGTGAAAGTCAGATACAATTTCTTAAAATTAAAAAAATAGAAGGTTTTATTTAGTAGGCAATTAGTAATAGTGATGCAACTCAAATTAGAAATGATTGAATAAATATTAATCATAAAATCCTAAATAATAAATAAAGATAATATTTAAATAATAAAAAGATATTATATTACTTTAACTTAAAATAAATCTGTAGAATCTTTATAAATTATTATTATAAGTACTGCTGGAACTGGAAATCTTATTTAATAAGTATCATCCAGAATAGACTGCAAGAAATATTACTATACATGCTTTAACAGGTGTTGTAACCTTAAGATTTAGGATAATACTATCTATTCATTACTTATAATTTTTAATATGTAATACAAAATATAAGCTTAAAGGTAAATAATTGAAAAAATTATAAGATAAAATAAAAAATATCTAATATATTATCATTGATGAAATAAGCATAATAAATCATCATTTTCTTATTTTAATTAATTTAAAACTGCATCAAACATTTTTAGATTAATTTAATTAATATTTTGGCAACTGATCTATAATCCTTATTCAAATAACTTTTTCCAATATATGATTTTTTTATATATTCTTAGGATTATTGATCATCAGATTCTTTATCTGAGGATAGACTTAATATCTATAGTTAATTCTAAGAAGTTTATAAACTTGAAGCTATATAACAACAAAATAGTAATTCAAATAAATAATGCTAATTTAGAGATTTTTGTTTTATTTACATGATAGAGAATCTATATAATCTGATTAAAAAATATTAATGATGAAAATCCTAGAAAAATTGTCAAAATCAAAATGAAAAGAATTTTTAAATATTATTAATATTTTTATAATATATAATGAGATTGATAGAGTTAATATTAATAAATTTTAGTTATTAAACTAATATATT